ACATTGAAAATAACTACCTCCAATCCTAACTACCAACTACAATCATTATTAAAATTTTGATATATTAAAAGGCACGTTAAAAACATCCGTCTCAGAAATAGCTAACTACAAAAGGATAAATTTATACTGTGATAAAATTGTAAGCAAGGAAATCCATTTACATCTCTGGAAATGACTTGCTTCCTGTTATTTTGTGGATGGAATTTAGAAAATGAGGAGGAACTAATTTTAGAAAGCACTTAAACAATGAAGGCAGCATCCATAAGCGATGATTCAACAAGAATTACCAGCCATTATACTGTGGACTAATATGTATTGCAATTGGCATGGTAGGCAAATCAAAGTATTTATAATCCTCATCTTCAGGGTCTTCATTTGAAAATGAGTCATAGCGGGTACTGGTATAGATAAAAAGTGAACAGAATTTATAATTATTTTCTTCATAGATATAAATCAAATAAGTATTTAATAAATGGAATGAGACTGTGCAGGAAGAGAAGTCTAACTCATTAAATCTAGCTGAGCCTCAGTTTTCCTGTCTTTAAAATGAAAGCAACAGGAAATACTTCACAAGACTGTCTTGATTTCATATAGTGCATGTAAGGACCCTGGTACAATGTCTGGTACATCCTGCACTGAAGTAGGTACTTACTAACAAGTGACTATTAAATCATCCCTATGGTAGTTCTGTTACCCGGTTCTCTCCAGGCTTCTCCCTGGACTCAGTAACAGGACCCCTGACCTCATCCCTCTAAAGGCATTTGACCACCATTATCCATTCCATGGTTCCTCCTACCATTTATATGGCTGTTCTGGGAAACCCTGGTGAAAGTCCTCTTTCAGGACTTTCCCAAAACCATTAGTCTAATCTCCATATATGCATTGATTTTTCATCTTTATTGGGAGAAAAAATAGCATTACACATGATGATCATGTGTTACTGAAGTGAGTCACAATAAGATCTATATGCCTCTTTCCCATAAGATAAATTTGAATAGTTAAATAAATTGATGTCACAATGTATGTTTAATCTCTACTATCGACATCAGACCATAGAGAGCTACTCACTGAATCAACTTCAAATGAATTAAGGAATTTGGACTATATATACCCGCACAGAAAATAATGTCTAACTTACAGAGGGTGAGGATCATTTGTAAATATAGAACAAATATTGAAGTTGGAAAGTCATTTTGCAACTATAACAGTGAAGATCAGAACAGGCAAAAATGATGAATGAGTTCTAAGCCTGGGGGAAATTTTAATGAGAAGCAGAGTATTTCCATGATTTAATATATTTTCTTGTTAGCTGCAAAGGGGAAAAAAGCAATAACATACTAGAGAAACTGGATAAAACCTAGAACAGGTACATCAAAATCACCACTGCTAATAAAGGACAGATGAACGTCGTGTGTCTTCAGATGTGGTATCTTGAGGAGGAGGAAGGATGATCTGTATAGTATTTCAGCTAAGAATGCATAACCTGAATCTATGATGATGAATTATGATGAAACACCAGAGCATCAGATAAACATGAAATGAGGGAGATGCATTCTTTTGTATCTATATTACGAGAGAGAACATACAAGAGAATTACATAAAATATTAATAGGTGAATCTACATAAAAAATTACAGGATGTTCTTTGTACTACTTTTATTCTTTTAACTTTTCTGAAGACTTTAAATTATTCACAAACAAAAGATTTTTTTAAAGTAAAGCACAAATATATGCTCTTTGAAGAAACAAAAATCAGACAACATAGAAAAATACAGAAAGAAAAGTGAAAATAAAAATGAACTGTCAAACTCCACATCTCACCTTTCCCTCACTAGAAGTTAAGTGCCACACATCAGGATTTCTTTTTCTTTTCTTTTTTTTTTCTGTTTTGTTGCTCTAATGTGTCCCAAACACCTAGACCAGTACCTTGCACTGGATAGTTGTAATATAAATAGCTGCTACATCCTTCATTTATTAGACGAATGAATGAATGAATGAATGGAGTGAGTGAATAGAAAAGCAGTAATTTGCTGTTTTTACTTTATCTAGACATCTGTACATTAAAGTTCTTTTTCCTAAGATTTCTTTCAAGTAAATATGGTCATACTACTAAAAAACTCAAGGTGATTGAGTCAGGACTTTATGGTAATTTTCACTGATCATTATCATTACCCCTGAAATTTGCTTTTCTATTATTATTACCATTCCTCCCTCATTTACCCTCAAAACACAACACCTAAATGTTGTTAATATTGTTCAAAGCCCCTTGAATAATTTACTCCTCTCTACCTCTCTTGCTATCACTCTGGTACTGGGCACCCCATGTACTTGCCTCATCTAACCAGTCTTTCTAGTCACCTGATTCCTTAACTTAACTCTTCTGCAATGCATTGCAGAATACACTTTTTTATACACCTTGATTGTGTTTGTCTTAAAATTTTCCAAGTGGTTTTCATAACTTGTAATTTCTAACTGATTAATATGGATCACTATCTGCCTTTTTATTCTTTGTTTTGCATTACCTATCACTTTCTTTTGTATTCAAAGCTCAAAAATCATTCATTCACTTATTCATTGTCATACATGGTAATATAGCATCTATTTAAATTCTTTTAGTCCCTTAAATGTTCTACACTCTTTTTTGCTTCTGGTACTTTGTGCCTGCTGTTCTTTTTCCAACCACCACCCAAATACCCACTTTTCATTTTGCTAATTCCTACTAATTTTTTCAGGTCTCAATTTATATATCGCTTTCAAGAGGACTTTCTGGACTATTAACTTTTGGTTAAGTGTTCTATGCCCCTGCTATAAGTTCTTATACCACCCTATACTTATTCTTTCTCTGTTTATGTAACTCTGATTAATGTGCAGCTCCCTAATAGAATGCAAGATTTATGAAGAGTGGGGTAAACATTAGAGGAAGGTCTGTGTGAGCCAGGATGCAGACTAAAAGATAGCTATGGGTAATTGTATCTTAATAAAACTGACCCCTTCTTAATGTCTCTTCTCTCTTCATCTCTCCTAGGCCACCTTCCTCCCTACTACAAGAAGTATTATTCTGCCCTGGTCAGGTGGCTCAGTTGGTTGGAGCGTCATCCTGCCTAACGAAAGGTCGTGGATTCGATTACCAATTAGGGCACATCCCTAGGTTGGTGCATGTGTGGGAGGCAACTGATCGATCTTTCTCTCTCACATGGCTGTTTCTTTCCCCACAACCCTGGTTCCTTCCTCTCTGTCTAAAAAAATCAATAAAAAAATATATCCTCAGGGGAGGACTTAAAAAAAAATGATGTGTTATTCTACAACACAGACCTGATTATCTGATTACATACACTCCAGACAGCATCAATAGTTCTCCAATGACAGCATGGTAACACCTAACTCCTTGGTAGATCACAAAACCGTGGAATTTCCCTCAGAAGGACTTGCACATCTGTGTCCTTCACAGCTGGTCCTCCCAACCCTGCCTGTAGAAATACATGTGCACACATAACAGGCTATATTCTGGACATTTTCTGCTGCACTTTCTGAATTACCATCCTCCACAACTACTAAACTTTAGGTAGTCACTGCTGCCTACAACTAACTTTGTCTTTAGTCAAGCCTACTTGAAATATATTAACCGGGGTTCAAATTCATTTCCTCTTTGGAAACTACCCTGACTTCCTAAGTTAACAACTTCCTTTTTGGTCTTCCCTTTCTGTGTAGTACAGGAGAGACGCCCACATACACTTAGTTTTTAAGAATACTGCGAATACTATGCCTTTTAAATACTGTAGAAATTGTGTAAAAAATTAAAAGAAATTAATAACCATATATAAGTGAGACTCCACCACCATCTTATTCAATGGGAACCTCCTGTAGGGTGAGCCCAAAATCATAGAAATGCCATTCCTTCTGTCAGTCTGCTTCCAACTGTATTTCATATTATTCTTACTGTGATTTCTAATGTATCAAGATGAGTCTTTGTTACACACAATAGTTCTTAAATGCATGCCAGCTACTTTCTCTGGTTCACACTGAAGAAGCAGAGAGCCACTGGCAGTATTTGACTTAATAGGAATTGTTTAATACTTCACAGGCAGTTTAAGGGTTTTTCAGAATATACATTCAAATATTCTAAAATTTTTATGTAATGTATTTTATTCTGGTTAGTTTTTCTCTAAGAGACTGAATCTGTAATGAACAGATGAAATCGTTTTGTTAATGTTTACATATCCAGTCTCTGACACTATTCTAACTGTACAACTGACATTTCAAATATGCATTTTTATTAAATGAACTACCAGCAACTAAAAGGTCATACAGATATACTTTAATAGACATATTATTGTTGAGTCCTTTTTCTTAAATCCCAGATTTCTGTACTCTGCATTTGTGCCTCATTATAACTCCTTTATCGAAATAATTACCCCTCTATCCAAATGTCCTTCCCTATTGAAATGAATCTTTACTGCCTCCTTCCTTCATTCATCTGCATTGAAAGAAATTCTATATTCATATAATTTCACTTATCCAAACTTCCCAGGAAAGATCTTACCACTCAGTAAGGCTAGATCTGAGAAATGACATAGCTACACTACCAGGCCATATACCATTAGTCCCACAGTTTTGCCAGGAAATACCGCAAACAGAGTAACCCAGACTAACACCGAAACATCTTCAGAATGCAGTGATAAAATCAACTTTACTATCTCCTTCGGACACACACACAGAGCTGATAAATACTACCAGGATACAGCAGTTAAAAGAGCAAATCTGTACAAGATGTACAATGAAGATTTCTTTGGAGGATGGTATTCTATTGTTCATGTTTGGTTTAATAAAGCACTGTGAATGTGAGCTATTGGTTGGGGACTACAAAGAACTTCATTAAAAAAGAACTGAGTGAAATCTTTTAGGATAAAAACTAAATATTAAATAAAATTCTACTTTATTTTTTGAATTTACTGGTCCAGGACTCACCCCCTCATTCACGAAATTAAACTGCTCAACACTCACCTTCGAGGATGATTAGCATCAAACAGTGTGTTATCGTCATCCTCATCGTCTTGTTCTAAAGGTGTCAGTTCCATGTTTTCTATGTTAGTGTCCAGAACGCCGTATCTCCTAGTCTTTCGGTTTCTTCTTCGCATCCTATTAAATACATATATTAATGAATACAAATTATTTGAATATGGTGCAGATGATCCTTATATTTATTTGTAAATTAAGAATAAATTATCCCCTCTTTTTCTGGCCCAGGAGACTCTCAATATCAGAATAATTACATTTCAGAAATTCAGCCTAGGTTATTTAAGAAACAAAGCCTACTCCCACTCACCATTTCTTCTGTCTGACATACCCTCATTCCTCTCTGTCAAGTTTGGTGTTGACTGATCCTCCTTTAAGTCTTAGTTCAGGTACCGTATTTTTGCTGAAGCCTCTGGTCCAACCTTCTCCCCATCTTTTCCATGCAATCTTACCACCATACAGGATTATGTACTTTCAGCCCCACTAAGAAATGGTATGAGTATATGTACTCAGTTCCCAGCTGGGTAGCTTACAACCCTGGTTGTACATCAGAACCACCTGGAGCATTTTAAAAAGCTCCATATTCAGGCCATACCATCACACAATTAAGTCAAAATTTCCATATACAGAAATTAATCATCAATATGTTGTTCCGGTTCTACAAGTGATTCCAGCTTCCTAGATCAGTGGTTCTTGAAGTGTGGTTTCCAGGATCAGCAGAATCACAAACACCTAGAACTATTAGAAATGCAAATCTTCATGTCCATCCACACCTAATAAATAAGAAATTTTGAACTTGGAAACCCAAAACACACTGTTTTAACAAACACTCCATGTGAGTTTGATGTATGCAAATTTTGAGAACTACTGCCCTAGAGGTATGGAAATATTTTAGGATGCTAAACATGATCTGTATACATATGAAAAGGTCTCATGTTTTAAAACCATATTCTCTGCTTTTCTCAAATAACTTGTTCTTTTCCTTTAAATTCTTTACATCGATTTGCATTTATATGTGCTTATGTATATGACTGTTAATTTGCCTGTCTTTCCCACTACATTTCCTGAGGGCAGCAACCATGACTGTCTCGCTCACCACTGTATGACTACAATATGTCTAGTACAGTGTGTGGCTGATTAACACACACTTCAAGTGTTCTTAAGTGTCTGAGGGATACCATATCAATGCCTATGTCATTTTTTATGCAACAACCTTAACTCCACACAAAGGAACATGTGTCACACAAGTATCTATGGCAGTTTAAAAACAATACAGAAGGTATTTCAGCAAGTAATGGCAAATAAGTTTACTTAAATTCTGATTCAGTTAATTGGATGTAATTAAGTATGACAAGAAATCCTACGACTATGGCATCAACTATAAAAAGCAATACAAACCTCTGCAAACATGACAATAAGAACCCTGCGAAACAAACTGTCCTACGCTTACAAACATACACTCAGGAAATGTTAGAGTCTTACTGAGTATCAGGCATTGTGCTGGCTTCTGGGTATAAAGTACCTTGGCTCAGTGATAAAAATTTCAAAAACATGACTATTCCTGGATAAAAATCAAGATAATCCCCACTAATCACTACCTATATATCTATCCTTATGCCCACCCAAAGGTACTGAAACAGAAAACAGAGATTTAAGAATACTACAGTATTTTGCCCTGGCTGGTGTGCCTCAGTGGATTGAGTCTGGCCTGTGAACCAAAGGGTTGCTAGTTCGATTCCCAGTCACGGCACATGCCTGAGTTATGGGTCAGGTCCCCCATTTGTTGGTGTGGGAAAGGCAACCACACATTGATGTTTCTCTCCCTCTCTTCCTCCTTCCCTTCCCCTCTCTCTAAAACTAAATAAAATCTTAAAAGAAATAGTACAGTATTTAAAGCTATAAAATGTAACCAAAGAGAAAGTTAATACTAATATAAGAACTAGCAATATAAGATAGATCGATAGTAGCATAAGCTGGTCTTTCTTATACAGCGAAAAATTAAACATTTAAATTATTAACAAGCATGTATGTGTGTGAATGTTTGTATCTGTGGGTGTGTGTGCACATACACAAACATGCTCACACATGTGCCATGTAGACCGGAGATTTAAACTTTTTCTGTAAAGGGTCAGATAGTAAACACCTTTGACTCTGTAGATCATAGCGTCTGTCACACATTCATATCAATTGACTTGTTGTTTTAATTTCTATCTTTTAAAATGTAAAAAAAAAAAAAAATTCCTGGCTGACAGGCCTTAAAATAAAGTTCAGGGGACTAAATTTACCCTATGGATCACCATTTGCCAACCTCTGATTTAGATTTATGAAAGTAATTCTAAATCTAATTCTAAATTCTAATTCTGACAGAAAAACTAAGTACAGAAATGATGAAAGTAATGGCTCTGGAATTAGAAATTAAAAAAGTACAAGGGTGTTATGGTTCACTATTGGTCATTTTGAACCACATGATTTAATAACATTTGTATGTATTCCTTTGATTTGAAAAGTTAATGAAGCTACATGGCAACAAAAGTTAAGGATATTCAGAGTTATAATTTCTCCTCTTTCCTTTTGCCAGTTTGTTCAATTTTCTAAACCACATGGCTTTCTAAACATTTATCTTCAGTCAACAAAATATGAAATTAATGTCATGGGAAATTATTTTTTGAAATAAACCAGATTATTCCAGATTATATATTATATATCAAACAGTCCGTATTTTAATAACCTGATCATTGCAGGTCATAAAATACCTTGAATAATATGAACAGAGAGCTTACGGGCTTTTAACATGTATCTCAGAGGCCACTCTTCTCCACTGCCAAGGTATTCATCATAGCTTGAATAAATTCCCAATCTTTCAATAAGTGGCCAAACAAATCTGCCTAATAAATAACATGATTTCTTCTCTCTGTGTACAGCGTAAACATTTGACTGGGCTTTGTGAGTACTCTGATGTTTATGCTAGCTTGTATTGTCCTTTAATTGAGTATATAAATATCTTCTAAACATAAATCCAAGCTCTTGAAAATCAAGAAACTACTTCAAATACAAAGATAGTGAGTGCACTGTTATACATCAAATAAATGGGGGAATGCAGATCAATTTAAATTAATTTAGTATTTTAGTAAATGTTACTAATTCATATAAGAATAAGTCAAATAAAGAAAACTGTATAGTGTTTTAATACAATTTAAACTTAAAATGAGTTTCCCTAAAGTGTCTTTCCTAAATCCAAACATGTAGGCAGTGATGGCAACACGGTCGTGACAGCTCCACGGCCACGCAAACATCAAATACACTGTAATAACACACATGTCCCTATATATGTTGGTTTTTCTCAAGGAAGGTCAAAAACACCTGTAAAACTTTAAAATTACTGGGCAGATTCAATAAACCATCTACTTAAAATACTAACAAACATTATGTGTAAAATACAATACAAATAAAAATATACTGAATATACGGAACGTTATTTTAAGAAGTTTATTTTTAAATGAATATTCAGAGGACTTAAACTTCTACTATGCTTTTTGCTTTTTACAGCAAGTGTACAAGAAAAGAACAGGAACACCAAAATTAGGCAGAGAGGTGGAAACTTTAAACAGACTTCTGCCATAAACTTTTCTATTATTTTTTATTTCTCAATTACAGTTGACATTCAATATTATTTATATTAGTTTCAGGTGTACAGCATAATGGTCAACTATGTAAGTTATGAAATGATCCCCCAATAAGTCTAGCACCTACCTGGCACCACACATAGTTCTTATAATATTATTGACTATATCCCCTACGCTGTATTTACAACCCTGTGACTGTTTTGTAACTGCCAATTTGTACTTCTGGATCCCTTCCCCATTCTCACCCAGCTCCCTGACATCCTTCCCACCTGGCAACCTTCACTTTGTTCTCTGTATCTCTGAGTCTGTTTCTGTTTTGTTTGCTAAATTTGCCATTATTTTTTTCAAAAGAGTAAAGGAGGCTTTAAATTCATGTAATTTTAACAGCTTGGTTCTTTTCCTACAAATAATTGTTTCCATTAAGCTCATGATACCCAAAACTTGCCTAGATGTGTTGATAATTATATACACATAATTTACAGACATGCACACTTTTCTACTTGACATAGTAAATGCATATCACAATCTGAACACAAATTTTGTTGGCTCTTGGTTAACAAAAAAATAGGGACGTAATTTATGCATAGCGAGGGAAATATGGAGGCCTGAAAGGGCAAAAGAAATTAGCTACATGGTAATTCAGTATAATAATACTGAATTATATTCACTCATCACGTGGCATGCACAGGTAAATGATTTTGATCAGACCTCTTCTAGTTAGTTATTCAAGATATTATTCAAATAGATATCCTATATAGATGCAGATTCCTCACTGTTCCATTGCACTCAGGTAAGCATTATTTAAATAATATAGGAAAACTACAGTAGAAAAATAAAACTAAACTACTAAAGTAAGCTTGATAAAATTTTATGTAAAAATGTGTAATGCCACACAAAACAAACACAACAGAATAAAACTCCATTTCATTTTACTACTCTGTGAAAATAAGAAAACCGATCAAGGTAACTGGCCGTACCTATCAGACTTTATTCTTTCTTTTTCCCTTTAAACTGAATGCCTGTAGGGTATCATTAACTATGAAATAATACAAGTAATATTATTCCTTAATTTCTTCTATAGCATTTTTTAAAACTAGACTGAGGTATATTTTATTGTATATTTTATACACATATACTTCCCCTATGTGATTAGACATAATGATAGAGCAGAGTAAATCTTAATAAAGGTACAACTACTGAAATGAAATTTTTCTCAACTGTTTTTTGCAAAGCAGTGAATTAGTAAACAATGATGGTTTTGAAACTAATTTTTTTTTGCCATTGTGACTTAAGGAAATAAAAATTAGTGAGCCACAACATTAGCTGTCTATGACTTTCATCAAGAAATCCAACACAATTGTATATATAACATATAGTAAAAATTATATCTCTCATCCTCATCTCTTATCACCCAAACCCAGTCCATCAGTTTTCATTTCAAGTTTTTTAATAAGTAAATACTAATAAGAGATAAAAGTATATTATGGGTTGAATTGTGTT